TCTCAGTTTTCTTAGCCTTGGCTTTTGCTGTAGATTAACAAGAATTGCTCCAGCTGGTTGGCATGAGGTTAACAGCTTCCATTGGCAGGTCTTTTCCTCCTTTTAACAAGGTGCTTTGTTACTATTGGTTTCTAATCTGGCTCCTATCTGTGGACTTGAACCTCTCACCTGTGACCCATGTCTTCATGACTCCATCAAGCTAAGATATCGCCACCACCCTACTTGATCATACCCATTTCTCCTACCAGGGAACTATCCAGGTTGGATTAAAAAAAAAACAAAAAAACCAAAACACCCACATCCCAGGTCAGACCTGGAAAGGTTCAAGCCCCAGGAAATTATTTAAAAGATGGGTTTTAACTTTGGGGAAAATTCAAGAGTCTCCCAAGTATCATGGGGAGCACTGCAGGTCAGCACCACTGGGTCCTTACACTTGGTGTGCTCCTAGAGTCGCATGCATGCTGGACTTCCCTGGCTGGAGACATCCTGAACAACCACAGCACACAGCCTAGAGTGGACCCTTGTTATGGCTGCTGTCCTCAGACACGACGGGACTGGCTCTAAAGCATTCAACTGAGGCACCATTACAAGGGCTGTTAAGTGTCCTGGCTGCATAAGAGAACAGGACTGGGGTGGTTCATTGCCAACAGTGACTGAGCAAGGATCAGGCTGGATTTGGGAGAGGGGAGAGAGTTGCATATTTAACATCCCGAGCCTCAAGCCTCTTTATGGTAGTCATTTGGGGGCAGAAGAATCTGGAGCCCCACCAGACTCTTGGTGGTTACAATCGCCACCTGGTCTGTCCTTGGGGGCTACTGATGCCCTGTGGTTGCACCATTCCTAGCTCCACAGCTGGAAAGCCAAGTGGAAAATGTAGACTGGTTTAAAAAAAAATGTGGTTTAAAAAGTTTATTAGAAGATGGTTAGAAGAGGTTAAAACATTCCTACAAACTAGCTCATCTGGTGCATCTGGATTGGGTGACCGGCAAAATGCCAGGGAAGCCAAAGCTTCTTCACCCTAGGGCCTGCTGGTCTCTCCCACCCCTGCCAGCAGAGCTGCAGACCAGGAGGGCAGGTGGTGGAGGAACTGGATGCACCTATGCCTTTCAGCATAAGCAGGGCCTGGGCAGGAGGGGGCCCCTGTGTGCTGTGCCCCAGGGCCTTGGCAGGAGGGTGCTTCCATGTCCTGCCCCAGGGCTTGGGTAGAAGGGGCCTCTGGGCTGTGCCCAGCACTCCTGAGAAGATCCTGGGGCCTGAAGAGAATGGTTCCTCTCATGACTGCCTCCACTTCCCATTGTTCTCTCCCAAGGGCTCTCTAAAAGCAAGGAAGAGCTGTTCTTACAGAAAATAGACGATCATCTCACTTTATGTGTTTGAATTTGTCTTTTCTCCTCCATCAGGGTTGAAGCCTCTAATGCTCCAGTTCTTGCTTATGTGGCCTACATAATGTATAGCTTTCCTATCCTGAATGATCACCTCTGAATTATTGACATTAATGGAGCAAAGAGTTCAAGGGAAGCTGTGATCTGATGATTATGTATTGAAGAGCTTTAAAAGTTGAGAGGACTTTTAAAGAGAACAGGACTGGGGTGGTTCATTGCCAACAGCGACTCGCCAGGATAAAGCCTTTCTTAAAGTTGGTGTTCTCCTGCCTGTGACCCTGGGTTTCTGCTGTCAGATCCAGGGTAGCTGACCCTGGAAGGGCCAGGGCTTAGACTCCTGGCCTCTCGGGTGGCTGACCTTCCTCCAGACCTGCTCAGCCTGCCGAACGTATCACCTAATCACTTGATTAAATGCGACATAAATTGGTAAGAGTCCACAAAGTCATGTCCACAAAGTCCAAGTTCAGTGCTTTAGAAAGAATAGATAGAGGCAAGAGTCTAAACTTAGCTGTTGAATCAGGAATGTGTGAGTCACAGCTAGGGAAGAATAAGTAGAAGATTATGCCATTTTATTATCTGCAAGTGTTCACTCCACTGTCAACAAAAATGGACATCGCAGATGATCCCCTGTGGGACGTTTCCTTGCTAGGAGCTCCAATTAAAGGCCAAGGCCCTATTATCAAAAAAAAAAAAAAAAAAAAACAGACCATAAATTTACCCTTAGCAATTATAATTGAAATGGAAACAAGGCCTGGGTGTGACACATGCTACCCACACACTTTGGCCAGCTGTTTCAAAGTCTCCAACTACTGGTCCTGGTCCCCTCCAACACCAGTTCACACATAGCATCTGATTCCACAGCCAGCGGACTTCCTCAGGAGGTCACCAAGGAAAACTTGGGTCAGCCTCTAATGAGAGGGAGAGCACACGGGGTGTGTGTGTGTGTGTGTGTGTGTTGGTTCTAGAACTCCCTGGAGGTAGAAGGGGACCCAGCTGGCCAGGATGTGCAGATCCACCCCAGCTCCACCCAGAGCCTCCCACCGCCCTACCTGTGGGCCTGAGCCTGTGCCACGTGAAGCTTCACTGGCACAAGAAAGGTGGCCTGAGGCTAGGAGAGGGCCTCGGGCAATTGTTACTTGAGCGGCTTTCTGACTTTTCTAAAGGGTTAGTGCTGTACCGCCTTTCACCACTAGAGGTCCACGGCGTTTCTAAAATGAGGGCCCTTGCTTGCCGCAGGATCCCAGAGGGGAGTGATTCCAGGGCTGCTGGAGGGACTGAAACCCTTTGGTATGCGGCTGTTCAACTTTGCCCAGGACATCGTCGTCATGACCTCGTTCACACACACACACACATCCACATTCCAAAATGTTCCGAGACAACACTCGCCCTTGCTTTTGCAATGCACTCACAAGGTATTTGTATTTCTAATCATTTCAATAAAAAAATAATGAAACAAGGCTGGGGGGGGGGGTAGCTCAGTAGTGCAGTATGTATCTAGCACATAGAAGGCCCTTGGCTCAATCCCTGAACCAAAACCCAAACACCTGGACCTAGTAAATTGAGTTTATCACTCACTAGTGGGCCCTGAGTTTGAAAAACCCTGACTTAGCCTCAGCCTCTCATCTTGTAGTGGCATGTGGCCACCTGCTTGCTCTGGTGGGTCCTGACTGCAGCACTGAGCTCTCAGTTGATGCACAGATGGGATGAAGGGGCATCTTTATCCCTCATGCTCGTGCCACAACTGCTGTCCTTACTAAGGCAGAGATTCCTCGAGCCACCGTGCTGGGTGCTGCACGGGACTTGTCTTTGCTCCTCACACAGGCACCTCAGTGCTTCAGAACTAATCGGACCTCAGAGGCCTTCCCTAAGGACACTGCCCCAAGTCTGAGTCAGGGCCACCATGTCTAGCCTAGTACACTGTTGGTGTCAAGAAACAACTGTGGGTTGAGCGCTGCCCCTGTGGTGATAACTCACATTCCTAGACCCTGGGCAGTGTACACACATCCTCTGTCGTGACTCTTAAAACCACCCTGCAGGATGGCAGAGCACGAATTATTTCCATTCCAAATGGGGAAATGGCCAGAGAAAACTGACACGACTGTCTCTAGGTTGTGTGGCGGCCGAGCAGGGCTCCCTACAGCACCCCGAGATTCCTGACTGACCTCTTTTCCTTGGTGGCCATAGCCACGCAAATATTTTACACCAGGGAAGAAATGGTAGGTAAACTGATGACAATAAGAAGCGGCCATTTCTCAAAGATTTTACTGCACACCTGCCTGCCCTAATCCATTGATTTCCTTCCTTTCTTCCCCAGCGCCCCCTCTGAGGAGAACCTTTAAAATTCAGAACCATTACACTACTACAGATGAAAAGCAGTAGTGCAGTCTTGTATGGAAGAGAAAGGGAGTGCATTGTTACTTAACTCACTCAGGTGCTGAGAGTTAGTTTAATTATTTTATGAAAGGTGCCAAGAATGTTATTTTCAAGGGGATGACTAAATGCACGAAATTATTATTTTTAAATCCCTGAAACTTGAAGGCTGGTGTACTCTAGAAATATGAGCTTGGTTTTCTGTAGGGAATCACCCCCATTGATATCCATAGAGCACATTTTTAGGGTCCCTCTGGGCCTTTGGGTGGGGGCAGCATCTCTCCCACCCTGATGAAGAGCTCAAAGTTTTTTTTCCCCCTGTCTTTGCTGGACTAGAAAAACCAGACTTCTGTGTCCCAGAGGCAGAGAAGATGGTTAAAAATAGGTAACAAAAATAGGGTGCCCTTTCCTAGCAGCAAGTTGATTCTGTCATTCAATAAAGTTAGCCCAACTGGGTGCAGGAGGAAGTCTTTAAAGAACCAAGGCTAGGCTTCCAAAAAGCCATTTCCTACCCTCTGATGCCAGGCCAGGGGCAATTAAACGAAGATCCTGCTGCCACTCAATTTGAAACCCACCTGTTTAAATCCAACACTTAATTCTAGGTTGAGGCTGTTTGTGTGTCTTCAGGATTCATGGAATATTTGCGGTTTGCTAGATAGGGCCACTTTGCTTAACTTCTGTAATCTTGTTTGGTGAAGAAAGCCACTAGCTCCACACAGAAAATACCTGGAGCCTGCTCCTTGAAACGGAAGCAACCAACCAGGAGAAATTCCCAATCTTTCATTCACGTAGAAAAGTACGCCCTGCCGGGGTCAGTCCCTCCCATCAGATTTAGCGGATCCCAGCGCTGGAAGGTTCCTGCCCAGATGGATGTGTGAATTCCAACCAAATCATCCCGAAGCCCTGCTGGTGGCTTGAAATTATCAAGAGTTTCGCGGTCCTGCATGGGAACTGACTCAGATTTTGGAAATCAGAGTTTGGCGGGGAGCCACTGGTGGGTCGTGCCCTCAGTGCGTCCCGAAAAGGTCAGTGCTGGGCTTGGGCCTCTTCCTCAGTTTCCCTAGTGCATCTCTCACCCAGGTGTGACTGCTGTCAAAAGCCGGGACCTGGGAAAGAGCCAAACACCTTGAGGACGCGCCAGCTTTCCGCGGTCTCTGCGCGCCAACAACCGCTCCACGCCCGGAGCCCGACGGTACTCCGCGAGATCGCGCTCCCTCCCAGCGCCTCCCGCTCGGCGCCGCCACTCACCTGCCAGCCGCCTGTCTGCACATCGGCCAGCACTCGGAGCTCGCTGGGCGAGCCGGAGTGGAAGTTGAAGAAGTGCAGCGCGACGCGCGCCGCCTGCTGCAGCATCGCCCACGAGGGTGGCGCGGGGCCGTCTGTGCCCCTGGGGCCCTGGAGCGGCACCGCGGGGTCCTGGAGAGGCACCGCCGCGCCCGGCAGTGTGAGCAGCAGCAGCAGCAAGAGCAGCGCCTGCGGCTGGGCGTAGGGGCGCGCGGGCCCGGGCGCGGAAGGGGGTTGCCCGCGGGGCTTCATGGACGCGGGCTGGCGGGGCTCTACAGACGCGGACCGACCCGGCTCGTAGCCTGGCGGGCTGCGCTAGCAGAAATAAGGCGGCGGCGGCCCCTCCCTTCTCCCGCGCCCCGCCCGGTGCGGCCCGGTGGCGCCTCCACGGCGCGGGCCCAGCGTGTGCCCGGACAAGCGAGCGGACAGACGAGGGGTAGGGGGCGGGCCTGATTTCTGCCCGGAGTTGCCGCGATTTCCCGATCCTGGGTCTCTGGGCCTGCTGGGACTCTCCCAGGGTGGGGCTGGGACTTCCCTGCGGCGGGGGGGTGGGGGGTGGGGTGGGGGGAAGGAGGCCGGCGGAGGAAAGCGCGGCTGCAGCGGGACTGGAAGAGCAGTAGTGTAGGAAGCGGCCAGAGGCTGGAGCTGGAGTGAGGGGGAGAGGCGCAGAGGGAGGAGTGGGCAGCAGGGAGGTGGTCAAGGCCTTTAGAACAGTCTTGATAACCCGGCGTGAGGCTGATTCAAAGGCAGGGGTAAGCCGGGTTCCAGTGGGGTGTGGGTTGGCTCAGGCCCTAGGCGGTGCAGGGATGAGGTAGCTCCTGTTTCTAAACCACAGACTAGAGGGATCGGGTAGAAGGGGTACTAAAGGGCACTCAGGGTTCTCCGCCCCCACCAGCACTGCTGTGGTTGAGGCCAGGTGTGCCATTTCTGGATGAGAGGGGAAGCCTCTGGAAACATCCCACACCCTGCCTTCCGCTGGATGTTGTCTGTCCATCATGTCTTTCCTTCCTTCTGAAGGTCTTCGTGGAACACCAACTCCCCTGGGCTCTGGGAAAATGAGGGTGAGCAAGCAGATAGACACACACCTCTGCTCTCCTGGAGCACATCTGGGCAGGAGGGGCCATGTTAGATGCAGCTGCAAGCTGTGGAGACGAATGGCTGCGGAAAGGCCAGGTGGAGTCAGATGGTTATCATCTTAGTGTGGACACCTGGAGAAGGTGAGAGCCAGGAGGATGCAGGCAGGAAGACCAAGGAGGTGGCAGGAACTAAAAGTGCCGAGGCTTAGAGCAGGAGTCCCCTGGGCCTGCTTGAAGAAGAGCCAGGAGGTCTGGCTGGAGGGAGGAAAAAATGGAGAGAGCATAGCCCATGGGTTATGGCCTGGTCACATCTGAACATTCTCCTGTCTTCCCAGCAGCCGGAGGGAGAAGTCATTCCAAGGATGGCAGCACAGAAACACGGGAGGACCTGGGTTGTGACACATCGCCACAGTCTGGCTCCTCTTCCTCCCTCTGAGCCGTGCTGTCCACACACTTCTTTGCCTCAGGTCCAGTCTCCCTTCCCTACAGTATAGCTTCTAGCAAAGGAAAGTAGGACTGGATTTGCCTGTTCTCTGATTGCTGGGCTCACCCCAGTGCACCCCGCAGGTGCTTGGGCAAGTACTCTTGCCAGGAGACCCAGTCCCAGCCGTGGTGTTCTGGGAGAAGGGCCTAGTTTCCCAGTATTCCTGGCTCATGGGCAGTGAGTAAGGGGACCAGGAGCCAGCTCCCATGAGCCTCAGGCCCTCAGAATCCTCCAAGAGCAGGTGTGGCCAGCTGTCCCCCTTCCTCCTGGAGATGGTGCGCTGATTTCCATTTTTCAACCTCTCTCCAATGCTCTCCACCCGACCTTCCCCCCACCCCCCGCCCCCGTGGTCTCTGACTTTCATTTCCTGTTCACTGGGGGCTCAGGGATAGGTTAGGATTGTGCCCTGGTGTGTGAACCAGGACTTTTCAAAGTGGCTGGGAGAGAAGCTCTGCCCTCCCCAGAGCAGGTGCTTCCCCCTCCTTTCTCTCCCATGAGAGCAAGCCTGTGTCCCCAGAGCCTCTGGTGCCATCTTTCCTCTCTTGACACCTGGATGCAGCAGGCCTACTGGAGGCAGAGAGAGGCATGGAAGGAAGGCGGGTCATTGGGGGATGTTACGGACCCACTGGATCCAACCCCTCTGAAGCCCACTCTATTTGTGGACATTGGTAGGAACCAGTAAGCCAGCTATATTGTTTAAGCCAACTTGCCTGTAACATGGTTGGGAAGTTCCCAGTGCATTGCTGATGTAGTTACTATTGGCAGGAACCACAGATTCAAAGTTGCCCTTGGGAGTCTGTTTGTGCTAGGAGCTGGGGGGTTGGGGGAAGCCAAGTGCAGCTCTGGAAATCACAGCTGGGCCCACCATCTTCAGACTCCACCAACTGGAGGTTCCATTCCTTTCCCCAGCATCTTGGCCTGGCTGTAGAGCCTCACTAGGGGTAGGGCTGGCCCAAGCTGTGACCCTGGCTGAGCACCGGAGGCTTCTGGCTGGCAAGTGTCTGTCTCCATTTAGCACCATTGCTTAGCTCTGCAGACCCTGCTGCCTGACTCTAAGATTGAGAGAAGACCGACACAGGGGTGAGAGAGGAAAGAGGACCCTGGGGAAAGAAGAGGAATTCCCGTGAGAGACTGTAGCCTGGGCCATGATTGGGAGCCATCTCCAGAGAAGACAATAGAATGGACATTTCACAAAGGTCTAGGACCCTCAGTTGACACTTTGGAGTTTTCTCCACTTTTCTCACCAGTGTAAGCACCTGCCTGGGGGCTGAAAAGCAAAGTTGTCAGTTGCTAGGAGACAGCATGTCTGTGGTACCTGAGTGAGGCTGGTGCCTGGGTGATGTCTCTGGAGGAGCAGAGGAGAGCCAGCTGACTGTGGCTGCCCAAGAGAGGGGAATGAGGGGACAGGAGGGAAGGGCTGACTCTAACTCTGGGTCCTTCCTGTTACCATTGGAGGTAGTGCTGCAGCTCAGGGCACAGGAGCCAGGCGCCCAGGCCCCTCCTGTGGGCTGAGGGGTGCTTGGCCTGCCCATGGCTCACTGAGTGGGTGGTGAGGGTCAGGTGTGCCCTCTCCATACTCAGGTAAAGTATCAGGACTGTGCCTGGTACACAATAATGGCCATATCCATGGCCCCATTGTTATTGCCATTAACTTAAAAAACAGATTATCTTGAAAAAGAGTGTCACCCCCTGTGGATTTCTTTTCACAGATGAAGGTATAGCAGGGACTGGAAACTGCTGGGCTACACAGTTCTTAGCAATTAAAAAAGATGAGGCTCTGTGTCCTTTGGATTCTTCTCCCTGGCTGAGGTGAAGGTAGGGGAGGTTGGCAGATATGGACACCCCATCCCTGACTACTGCAAGGCCATTAGCCGGAGCTCAGTTGAGGATGATTCTATTTCAGAGCCCTGGAACCCAGAACACTGGAGAAAAGGCAGCTTGCCTGGGTCCTCGCCTGCATGACACAGTCTCTCTGGGGACCTTGGCTTCTCTAGGATAGGCCCTGTGAGCCTGCACACTCCCAGGGCATGTTTCCAGTTGCATGGAGCCTCCCCTGCACCCCATAGGAAGGCTTGACTGCCACAGTAGGGCAGAGGCCCCCTTAGTGGAGCCAGCTGTTAAGCCATGTTTGACTTCCTGTTCTCTCCTGTGAGGTGCTTGGGAATCATGGGGGATCCAGTGTCCTAAATATGGTGCCTGTAACCTTCCTGAGACTCATGCTGCAGGGAGGTGGTGCTTTGCCTAGAGCCAGGGCTTGGAGCCTCCAGCACCATGCTCAACCCCCACCCCCTGGATAGGCCTTGGAAGACCTGGGCCCTGGTGGAACAGCTCAGGAACGTTTTCTGGACCCACGAGGTTAAGGAGGAACCTTTCCACCTGAATCCAGAGGGACCAAATTCTTTGGGGATGCAGAACTGGAGACAAGGCTCTTTTTAGTAGTGTCACAGAAAATACGGTGGCAGTGTTTACTCCTGTCATCAGGAAGGATTTCACATGCCATAGATTGAGAAGAGACTGGCTTCGATGTGTCAGGAAGCCTCAGAATCTAATCAGATAAGGCAGCTGGCAACGTCCAGCAGGACTTTGAAATGAAAGCCACATGCGGTCACCAAGTCCTTCAAGTGTGACAAGGGTGGTTAAAAAATTTTTACTATAATTTTATTTCAGCTGATTGAAATATACACACTCATTTGTGGCTGGTGACCACTATATTCTACAGTGCAGTTGTAAACAAATGATTTTCATGGCATGATTCTTTTGAAGAAAGGGAAAGTGAGTTTGGGGCCCTATGTTTCAGTCTTGGTGCTAGGTGCTTACCCCGAGAATGATCTGATAAGTCTCCACAGCTTAGTAAGCTGGAGATCAGAGAGGGGTTAACTAACTTGCCTAGTGTTGTGTTCCCAGTGGGGGTTAAGGGAGGGATTTAGACTCAGTCTGGCCCTCTGGGATGGTCTTGGAGCAAGGTGGGCTTGAAGGGTGAGATTAAGAAGCCAAGAGAGTCCAAGGGAGTTGGATGATTTCAAGAAAGGGATACTGAAGGGGGCACACAACCTTTAGTACCCAACTAAAAGTTCATTTGCAGAGGAGAGTGGCTGATTGTCACTGTCACCATCCATGAAAGCTTCTTTGGCTGAGGTGGGGGACCCAGAGCATGTGATGCAGTCCTGATTCCAAGACCTCTATTCACATGCCAATGTGCGTGAGTTGTCAGCAGGCCATATGGGGCTGGTGCGTGGTCCAGGAGGACTGGGCAGCCTGGCCCCTGCACCCTGTGAGAGGGGAAGGTGAGAGCTGCTAGGTCCTGCATTCAGGGTGCTCTGGGGGGTCCACACTGGCTGTTGGCAACAGCACACAGCAGGGCCCTCTTGCTCCAGTGCTCTTCAGTGAGATGCTGCTCAGCTGAAGCAGTTTCAAAAATCTCTAATCTGTGGGCACAAAATGATCCTCCTAAAACCCACCAGGTGGGCAGGGCGTTCACATTTGAAACAGTGATTTAGGCCAGATGGATTCGAGGAGCATTGCTTCTGCTGTAAGGATTTGACAAATCCATTTGGACATGTAATGGCCAACAGATGGTTTTTTAAATGTAATGAAATGAAAATGGCCAGCAGCTTGTGTTAGATCTTGCAGTTTTCCAAAGTGAGTCCTCATCCTTGGTATGTCACACTCCTTAAGAACACAATGTCTTCATAGCTCAATCATGCGTTTTCTGGTGAATTTGGAAAGGTATTTTGTTTTTGATCAGTCGCTTGAGACAGGACATTTGCCCTTCCAAGGATGAACTAACATCCTCCTTGGTGAGCTACAAATTGAGATGACAAATAGATTATAAAATGGAACCTTTAATGTTCCAGTCATAGGGCATTTAAATAAATCTCAAAATAATAAACTCCATTCTTTCCTGGTTAAG